TCTTTGGCAAATGAAGCACTCATTTGGCTTTTTCAAATAATAGAAATTTCAAAAAACTGAAGAAAAAAGCCTTCCCTCCACCTTCTGGGATAGTTACTTAGAGTAAATTAAAATCAGGGCTGTAAGCAGATCATGCTGGTAATTTAATTCTGTGGAGATTACCACTTTTATGTATAATAAAACAATGTATGAAAATTTGAAGCCATAATCCTTAGGCAGCCCTTTCATCTGTTCATTCAAACGGAAGCTCTTTGCCTGTGAGTGAATCGCTGCTGAATGTAGCAACTGAAATTCCTCAGTATTAGAAGGATCCCAGCAGAAGCTCCAAAAGAGGGCAACAAACTCAGCAGTGCAAGTCCAGTACTCGACACTGGAAAAGGAAAGGAAAAAAAACCCAAAAGCTTTAGAGGATTTTGAGGAGAGGGTGACCACAGTTCCTACTTGAATTGTATGGGGCAACAGCGGTGATGACTGTTTATAAACCCCAACCATCTCTTCAAATATAGTCTGTACCAGATCCTTGTCATCTAGGAGGCAATCACAAAGGCTGACCAAAGCAAACATATTCAATTAGAGTAAGTTTTCATGGAAGTGTAGTGCAAAGTGTCTTGACAGATTTTCTTCCAGTTTTGTAGAAACCATCTTTAGTCACAATTTTCATTACAAGTGAATATTCTAATACAAAGATACAGAGGAATTAAAAGGTTGTGGTTTAAGAACTGGGTTTAACTTCTCTGTTGTTATTTTTGCCATGAACTTATTGCAAGTTGCATTGCAAAATTTCTTTTGGAAAAAGTTCTATTTTAAGAGGAAACACCAGGATTTTATTTTTTGGCTTCAATTTTAAGTGGAAAATACAGCAATAGCAATTGAAAGACTTCTTTTGTTATACACACAGCTACCTCAGCATTAAAGCTGCAATTTTGACTTAGCTGGAGCTGAAATATATGAACATTATTGGGTATGTCCTTGAGCTCTGAAGAAGGAGGTCTGGAATGAGAACAAGTGTGGGTCCTTTGGAGAATGTGGAAAGGCAGCCTGCAGAAAGGCATGTCTATGCGTTGATCTGTCTGTTGTGAAAATAGGGAAGAAAGCCAATCATTCCCAATTCTGCAGACATTCTGACAGCTAAAGTAGGCATTAACAATTTGCAACACATGGCATGGGGGATGAAAGTCTCTGAGCTCTACAGCTGAGAGTTTCCTGGCTGAAATGAAGTAGCAGTTGAAGGTATTTCAGAGAAAAACTTATTTTATAATTCACCATGCAGGGACAAAATGGATAACATTACCGAAAAATGATGTCACAACTCAAAAATAGTACCTGTTCTGGCTTCAAGTCTCAATAATTCTGAGTTTTTTTGGCCTGAGTTGGGAATAGGAATAGGAAGATTTGCACAGCCAGATCTTTAGGCAATGAGAACTGTTGTTTCCTTAAAAGACTTAAATTGAGCTCTTTTGAGATCTCCTTTGCAGTGTTAAAAAGCTGTTGGTTTTCTTGCTTAGACCTTCAGAGGAAGGGAAGATTATTTGTATGAATAATTCTGAATTGGAATAAATTGAGACAGAGAAGTAGCAGATGAATATTTTCAACTGTTGCTATTTCAATTTACATGCATTAAAGATGTGGTCAGGTATATTTGGAGGGACATCAAGTCATCAAGTTCCTTTAAAATGGAAAACAGAGTCAAAAACATACAAAAGAATGCCATTCCTTAGAAAAATTGAACAGCTGAGAGAAGAAAATATGTATTTGAATTTTTATTATTTTTCAATAATTCTGTGTAATTGTTATAGCAGCAAAGCCAATTAAGCAGGTTAAGTGAAATTGTATGATAAACGTGAAAACAACTCTTACTTTAATTTTGGAGACAGAAACTAATATTATCTTTACCAGTGTGAATCTGTGAAACTGTTTTCTTCACTATTTACTCTTCTTGCTTTTGATTTGATTTCAACCAATAAAATAATTCTTAGACATGTACTCTCTGTTGACATAGTCATGCCAAGTGTTGAACATAATGGTTAAAACAAGAGTAATTTCATTATCTTTTTGTAGTTGTGGTTAATAATAATAATAAACCATTCTGTGGGAAGAAAAGATCTGGGGAGATACCTGATGATAACAAGGAAAGACTACGACATGCCTAGAGTGACTCCATTAGTTTTGATTTTGCAGGTTGGGTTTACTAAAGGTACTAATGTCTTGCCTTCAGTGTCTTTATACTGGCATTCCCTTTTCACACACATTTAGCTTACGGAATTCCAGTTGAAATAAAAAAATAATTAAACCTTGGACTGACACCGGTGAAAAGCGCTGCTTTTTGTAGGGGTCATTTGTACCAATGGCTGGTTTACCTTGGGTCCCACTGCTATCACTGATGTTCAACTGAGAGCAATTTGGTATCTGCTGCTGTTGCTGTCACAGTATTTGCGTCATTGCGGTGTCTGCCAGACTCCTTCTCTCTTTCCTTGACCTTGTCCGTCTGTGGGAACTCAGGGCTGGGAGACTCCGGCCCCGGCAGACCTGCCGCAGGGGGGATGGTTAATCGGGGGCTGGGAGTCCCCCCAGCCCGTTCCCCGTTACTGACATGGAAGTAATGCCTGGACAAGAGCACTGCTGTGATCCTGCTCAGTCACTGGACAGAAATTGTAATAATTGGGTGGCGCGGCCGGAGCGGGCGCGAGGTGTGACGGCAGAGACAAAGGGGACAGGAAATCACCACACGGCGTCATATGCTCCTTCTCAACCTTAACTCTGATTGCAGCTGTCAGCGTGCCATTGTGGTTCTTCAACGTACTGTTTTATTCAGCTCAGTGTGGGGGAGATATTTTTTTGAAACTGAAACAATGCTGGAAAATGATTGGCATAAGGTTACCTTTAGGCACGCTGCGGTTCCTGAGGCTGTTGCATAAGAAACAGCAGTATTAACTTACTGACAAGGGGATTTTTGATTTAGTTAAAATCTGTATTTTTCATCCATGTCATGTGTTAACTCTGCAGTGCTAGAAGAGCTGGAGATACAGCTGAGAGAACATATTCCATTAACTCTACTTTCTTAAGATCTATAACAAGTATTCTGTTTTTCTTTTATCTATTTGCTCTCTTTTAATGCCATACTTATATTTTTTTACAGCATTAAGGATGGTTTGAAATGCATTAGGATAAAATGTTAAAATAGTGCTACAGGAGAAAAAAAATATATTGAAGATAACAAAAGACACACCATTCTCATGACCAGTGAGAACTGGCATCACAATTATTTCCTATGACCAGTGAGAACTGGCATCACAATTATTTCCTATGCTCTTTTACTGAAAACATTGTTTTTTGGAGGCATAAAAACCTGCATTGCTCAGAACTGAGAGAAATGAATTTCTTGTCTGTGTGTAGAACTCCATGGTTGAACTCTTCTTGCTTTAATTTAAACCAAGTTCTTCTGAGTAATTATGTTTATTATTCTTCAAAGTTTATGTTATTTATTGTGTATTTTTTAGCCTTTAGTAGGGTTACTATTAGCTTAGACTTAGAAAGAGAATCTCTATTGATTTTGGACACATAGTTAATAAATTAGTAGTTTTATGGCTATGCTAATGATTTTAGTATATATGTACTTTAGCTGAACTTTTTTATGTTGCACATTCTTCTAAACTGAAAAGTTGTCTTAATTTTTTCTCCTTCATGAATTTATAAAACAAACAGAAATATGTAGTGTTAAGCAACAGTGAATTAATATATTGAATATATTGAATATATATATAACATATATAACTCTATATACACATATAATATATCTCAACCGTGTTTTAAAAATCATTTTAATAACATTACACCTAAATAATCACAGGTTCATGGTGACTCATTTTGTATGTTCACATAAAAACATGTTCTGAGCATGGTGATGCTTTAGCTGTATCTGAAGAGACTGCCCAAGCCACCAGTCCTGATGTCTGCAGATGGGGATGGAGTTTATTACGTGTGTGTGAATAGGGACTGAACCAGAAATCCTCCTTCCAAGTCCTAACAACTTCCCTTCCTGGTTCTAACAAGCAGATCCAACAGCTTCCATCTGGTGCTAGAGAGGATTGTTCTTTAGATGGTTCTTACAGGCAGATATATCTATATAGATATAGATATAGATATATATAGTATATATATGTATATACTATATATATATTCAGGATAACCGTATCTGGAACTTTTATCGATATTCATTTGAGAGATTTGTGGTGTTTCACTGCATGTGGCATAAAAGCAGAAATTCTCTTAAATTATGTGATATTTAGCTATTAGATAATTACAGATAATTGCATGGGCAAGTTCTATGAACTGAAGTGTTACTGTAACATCTAAAAATCTACAAATCGGGCGACAATTATGTTTGGAGTTATTATTTCAAGTATAATTACCATGAGATTGGCAGTGCACGTGCTTAATGGGTAATCACTGGAATTTGACTTCACAGTTGCACTTCCCCCTGGTTGTAAAGTTCTTTGTCACAGCATTTAAATGTAAAGATAACATAAATTGACCTCCACGTGTGTTATACTAAAACTGCAGTACTGGCTCCTTAATGTTCTAAACCCATAGTTTCATGGGGGAAACAGGGAAGGGACAGTGTGCTGTGAATGGGGAAGAAGTGAAGCAACCCTTCAACAGATACCAGATAGTGGCATAACTCTTTTCCGTAGCTGTCCAGAAGAACCATTTTATATCTATTAAAGCTAGTTTGCAACCAGATAAAATTCTGCAGAGACCAAAGGCTTTCAAAATGTCCTCATGTGATTTACTGCCTTCCTCCCATTGCAAGGAAGTTTCATTAGGAAGATTTCATTAAGAAAATTTCATACAGTAGAGAAGAATCTGGAATTCATTCTTGGGTTCCGCTTGAACAAAGCTTCTTTTTATTTTTAATATTGTTTATATATTTTTTACCAAACTTCCAAGTTATTAAAGAGTGTATTTGCTTTTGTTTGTTTGTTTGTTTCATTATTTATCAGGTTTTACCTGGCGAGATGATTATACTCAGCATGTTATTGGTCAGGAACTCTCAACCATTCACAAAATCCACAGCAGACGCCCCGATGTATTTGCATCTGAAGGATCTGATGCAGGAAGGTAAGTCTTCTATGGTGTTTTTGCCTGGCAGGGTTTTGGAAGGGTTTTCAAATGATAAGGAATAGACTGGAACAGAAGTGGAATTAAAAACCTCACCAAAACGACTATTTGTATGATAAAGGGAAAACAGTCATACAGCACACTGAACACTCCAGTGTTCAGTGGACAGAATGAATTAAAACCATGAATCTTGTTTTTCTGATTATCATCAAGTTAAGAAAATACACTTTCTATCATTAATTAAGGTGTCAGAATTCAAAACATCAGGCCTTTCACTCAATTTATGCATTTTCTAGTGTCAATTCAGCCATCTCTACTTATGACCTGCTTAAAAAGGCAGACTTATACAGTAGCTCACCCACAGGAGACATTTTATTCTGGACTAAGTATTGAGTGACATTCTGAGCAACTGATTATATTTTCAAAGTCATATTCTTCCAAAACATAGCTATAATTGATCTGATGTCTGTAGATTCCCAGTGGTAGTTGCAAAATTTTTATAGGAAGGAGAGATTCATGCAAGTTCCCATGACAGAAAATAGTGTTGGGATATGACTTGAAAGGTATTGAGGGATGACTTTGTAGTTATTGATTGCAAGAGGCACATCTGTAATTCTGTAAAATTATATGGTTGTAGAACCTGTAGTTATATATACAGTTATATATATATTCATATACAGTTACGCATATAAAAATACTCTTTTACCTGGTCTGTTCTGTCCTACAGGCTCTTAAGTGCAACCCAACTACACAAACCCCAGAAGGAAATTTTAGGAACATTAAAAATGGCAAATTTTGCTTTCTCTTGTGTGATTTTAAGAACTACAATCTCAAAAGTAGTGAAATTGAAAGAAAGTGCTTTTTGTTAAAAAACTCTCCTCATGGTGGGATAGAGTTTGAGCTTCTAGCCTTGATGGGCTTCAGATCTTCATATACTGCAGTATGTGGTTTGCATATACTGCAGAACCATTTCTTTTCTATATTGCTCTTTTATGGAAATAAAAATACTGCATAATTGATATTGCCCAGTGGCTTCGACTGTGTTTGCTTCATTTTGTTTTGATTTAATTCAATATTCTACCCTGTATTTCACATGTCTGCTGATTCAAAAGTATTCCTTAAAATCGCAGCATCATATATTTCAGAAGTGCAGTAAGGTAGAAACTTAACTTTCAAAGATGATAGTGATCTATAGATTATCATAAATGTGATAACAACATGTGTTTGAATCTGTAAACATTTTCACTGCTTAGAAATGGCACACAATGCCATTACAGAATGGATTACTCTCTGTACATAGTATCAGAAATGATTTTCACTATCTTCTGGGGATACTTTTTTAGAATGAGTGAACCTAAAACTTTTATTTGTGAGAGTAGGACAAAATAGGCCAGATTTCCATGAGATCAAGACTGTATTCTGCAGTGTTCCAGATTCATAGTTATATAAAAATAAAAAGTATAAGCAGATATAAGAAATTATTTAGGTTTCAGATTGAAAACTTTTAGGAGTTCCTGTTGTAATCAGGTTTGAGATGTTTTGCATTTTTAACTAGAACTATATGTTAAAAAAAATCCATTTTGTGTATTGACAGTTCAGGAACATCAGAATTTCAAATGTGCTCACATATAGCACTTTCTATTGTGGATAGATTTTCTGCAGTTACCAAGCTGTGCTTCTGAAAGCATTATCTTATGTGCCAACAGTTTAAAGCATTAATTGATTTTCCTGGTTGTCCATTTGCAAAGTATTCTGTAGGTCAGAGAACAGTAGGAAATTTGGTCTCTTGTAGATTCTGATCAAGTGTGTTCTGTGTTTGGTGTGCTCAGTGTGATTGCTAAAATCTTATGAGATAATAATTAAATAATTTTAAAAGCAACTTAATGTAGGTATCTAATTATCAAAGAAACATTATGGCAGGAAGACCTTTTATTAAGGGTAACGTGTGTAATAAGACAATATGAAGTCATACTAATGAGTCATTAATCCCCACAGAGCTGGTGAGAGCAAGAAAATAGACTCAGACACTTGAAAGGTAAATTGACTTAGGCTAAATTAGTGCATATGAAATCTGATGAAACAGAAGACATGGATTTCATCTCAAAAAAAAATGCTGAAAGTGGGAGTTTGATTTCAAGATGAAAGTTCTTTCTTTGTTGGCTAACTGGAGTGTACGTGGTATTTCCTGGGTCCTTATTAAATTTCAAAAAACCCTCTCTTGAAAGAGTATCAAGATAAAGGAAAAAAGTCCATTCTGCACTCAGGGAATAGATGTCAGTTGTGTTCATTGGTGCAATTAGGCAAAACCACAAACGTTTCCAGCAAACTTCAATGTATGAAATGGGGTATAGCATTATTTCTATAATAAAACCATCATTAAGTCAGTAATAAGATTCTCTCAGCACTTAAAAGGGAGAAATTTATTCTAAAAAATGTGGTATCTATTAATGGTGAACATTCTAGAAATAGCTGAGGTACAGTAATTTAGATATCTCCACACAAAAGCTTCCAAAGTGCTGAGTTTTGTAGGAAATATTCTGTGGAAAAATAATTCTATATGCTATTACCTTTTTACTCTAAAGTTCATTGTATGTGAAGTAATTTTTCAGAACAAATTAAAACTGAAAATACTTCCAAAAAAATGCATAACAAGAACTCAGCTGTCATTTCTCCTACTCACCAAGTGCTTTTATATATTTGTGTTTCATCCATTTTCCAATATCACTCTGTCAAATTTAAAAGAAATATTTTAATTCGCTTGCAATAATAGCTCACTTAATGCATTTCATTTCTGCATTAACAAGGTGAACTATAAAAATTTTTTAAAATTTTTCATATGTATTCATAGGATCCTAATAAAGTTGTCATCAAATGAAACGTAAAGCTTTGTAGTCTTTTACATTTTAATTGTTTAAATGTTTATAGCATAAAATATGATATCTAGTGTGGAATGTAAACATGAGTGGAATTACTGTCTCCATAAGAAAAATGAGAAATCTTAGAGCTCAGATTTTGCTTTTACCACCGGTGACAGTGATTATATACTGTAAATAAGGGTTGGAAAAGCCAACCTAAATGCTGTCTTTTGTCTGTGCATTCAGTTCCCATTAGCTCCAGTGGAAATCCTTGGGGCAGAATTCAGTCTGTTTTTTTCATTTTCCCTTTCTTTTCAAAGTTAGTGAAGAAAGGAGAAGATAGGTGTTGGAGTTAATCAGTGAATGAAAGATGAGTGTTGGAAAGTGGGATCCCTTCTATGAAGAGAGGCTCTTCGGATTAGTTCATCTCTACTGAAGCAGAAAGCAATCCTGCCCAGCTCTTTCTAGAACTGCAGAATAGTTTTAGTCTGGCTTTAAGTTGAAAAGGAGGTGGATGATGTTACCTGCATATCCACCCTCCATCACAAGGCAGAATTTAGAGCCCTGAAATATGAGAAAAACACGAACAGCATAGGAAGGAAGAAGGACTTACAATAAATTATCTCAAGTTTACTACAGTGCTGTGCAGTAACCTTTTTTTTTCCCTAGAGTTTCTGTGCCTGATGGGAACCTGTTTGTTTTACACTGGGGGAAGTAGAGGGTTTTCTGGTATTTCATTGAGCAACCCTGTGAGCACTGTTGGTTGCAAAGCCACCACAGTAAATTAGATTATTAATTACATTTACTGGCATTACATTAGTAGGGACACACATTTGATACAACTGTGAGCATGGAAGGAAGTCTGTTACTTTGTGCATAAAGTAATGTAATTAAACCCGAGATTTGGAAAATGATCTAACAGTGCTCTCTCAGGCTGTGCCCCTACATAAACACTGAGGGTTGGGCTGCTAAAATAAAATTTTATTTACAGTGACAGAGAGATGTTGGAAGTCAAATTCCTTCACTGAGCAGGAAAGCCTTTCCACCTGGGATTGTTCTTTATTGGAGAAGTGTGGGGGAATGTGGGTAGGAAATGGTGACACTAAAAAGGTGATTTCCCTCAAAACAATGCATCACTCACAAGGGAGGAAGTGAGCTGGGAACCCTCTCTCTGCTTTCTTCCACAAGGAATGAAATAGTTACTGATGCTGACATTTAAATTATCGTCATCATTGACATGTTGTTGAGATAGATGAGGACAGCTGGTAATAATTCAGATTCATCGCACACAGCACTCTGAATCCCATATAAACACCTCTGCACTGCCATGATTTAATCAAACTTTTAGCCTTCCTTTGCAAACGTCACTAAGATCTGTCTAAACCGCTCAGAAAACACCACTATTCTGTGAATCCCAGGCACATGAGAAGATCAGAAGGAATACTTGTTCCGTCTCATTATTCTCTTTTCAAGCCCTTTGCTGGAACTGACTTGCTCTGTTATTTCTGCATAGCCAATAGTCTCCTTGTATTCTGTAAATTGGTGCAGGGCCAAATTGGTGTTGAATCTCATCATCATCCAGCAATTTTTTTTAAATCTTAGAACCATCTCATATTTCTTTGGGGTGCAATTTATTCATGTGTACTTTCTTTTTACAAGCGCTTTCTTTTCGCAAGCGTTTTCTTCTCTTCTGAATGTATCTTTGCCTTGATGTGGCATTTTATTTGATTTACTGTAGAATCATTAGCTTTGATTCATTCCATAAATTGTTAATAGTACAAGATTTTTTGACTACTTTTGCTGAAACAGTGAATCTTCTATACTTTCGTGGTTGATAAGCTTTTGAGTGACTTTTTTTTTAAGTATTGGACTAACTTCAGTGGTTTGCAGTGGCTTTTTAATTGGCCAGTTTGTATGTTGGACAGGCTGGTAACTTTCTTTTGCTTGCTTTTGCTGTGCAGGACTTTTGGACAGAACGCAGATAATGAAAGAAATTATGATGGGGAAAATGATGTGAACTTGGCCAAGTCTCTTCAGCAATACCTTAAATATCTCGGTATCCTCTCCCAGGCTGCATCTACAAATCTGTATCCAAGGAAGACAAGTGACAAAGCTTCTGTCAAGGTAGTATTTTTAATGTGGTTCCTATATTCTGTGATCTTGGCTTCCTTCTTCTCTGAGTCCTTATTTTTCAAATTTCCCCTCTGTCTTAAGACCAGATGTTTTTTACTGCCTCCTCCAATTAATTATCATAACTGTACTAACCAAGTTCTCTCAAAATGAGTCACCTTCAGCATTGTAAATGCTTCAGCTTTTCAAATCTGGAGCATTTTACCTTAATGAGGGATGAATTGAATGTGATGAAGAAGGAAGAGTGGGATAAAGGTGGTAACATCACTGGCTGATCTGAAAGCTTTAGGATAAAAAATCAGGTGAAGAAAATAAAGTGGCAAAGCCAAACTGCCATTTTATTCCAGGGACTAACTCAGAGTCACGGAACTACTGCAGTGTATCTGCAACAGCACCTCCTGACAACAGCACCAGCTGTAGCAACCATTTAGTCGTGGTTATTATTCTTGTCAGAAGCACAAGTTTCGCTGTTTCCAGTTTCACTGACTGACACATATAGCACTTATGATTTATGGTGTATGTCATTAGGTGCTCAGTTGGGGCAAGAGAAGCTTGCAGGCAGCAGCAAGGCAGCTTTGAGGAGGGAGCAGGGACCATCTTCATGCTGCCTTTCCTCCACTCTCTCCTCATGGGCGCCGGCTGTAGCGAGGCTGCTCTGTTTTGAATCACTGGCTTTCAGAGGCAAGAAAACTTGCTCAAGAAGTATTTCAGTGGGTCTGGTGCTGTCATGCAAGTTCATAAATAATCCATATGGCTGAGACCTTCTGTGGGGAAGCCTGCTGTGATAACACCACCCACCAACCTTATCGAGTGTTGCCATGGAGATGGGTACTCTGAAGCCTGGGGGAGTGGGATAAAGAGGAGAAAATCTGGAAATGAGGCACGTATAGGAGCAAACTGTACACTTGTATTTACTAAGGAGCGTTTTAAAACAACAGACATTGAGTCAGATGTGTTACCTGCAATTTAAAATAAAAAAAGGAAAGGAAAATTATCTTACAAAATTAGCAATCAATCATGAATTTTAAATGATCCTGGAGATGTTTCCCAAACCTCTGCAAATAAAGTGCAACTGCTCTTCTTTAAAAGCAAGAGGGACATGGTATTTTTATCTTGATTCATTGTTTCATTAATGGATTAACATTTAAACAAAAGAGAAACCAGGATTTTTGCTACTCCAGGAAGAAGCAAAACCCTATAAAATTTAACAATTTGAAAGGAGAAGGAAGGAAAGTAATTGCTTGAGGTGCCTTTGATATGGTTGTACCACTTGAAATTGAAAATGACTACCATATGCACTTTAATTGCATGCTTCACCAAAATATTGGTACCTTATTTTGTATTTAATATATAGAAAAATTAAAGCTCTGCGTTAAATAATTGTAGCAAGATCTCAGCATTTAAACTTTCTGGCCTTTTCTGATTAAAAATAAGGACAAGATAGAGGTACTTTACCCTACTTAAACTCAGAATTGCAACTTTTGGGCCTTTGCCCTTCTTAAAAATAATTTTCTTTCAAGTATATATTTACCTCTGTCACTTCATTCCTGCTGCCAGGGAATAGGAGATGTAACACTACTCTGGTTGCTTTGATACCTTACCTGCTATGAAGCACAGCTGAATCTTGCAGAAATTTAATGTTTCTAGCAGGCTTCCTGAGTGGATTCTGATTTATTCCAAACCTGATATCAGAGGTCTCTGGCCAAGAAAAACAAAGGAAGATAAAAGACAAAGAGGTTTTAAAATATTTCTTATACTCTGAAAGTGCTATTTTATACTTTAATATAAATATATTTAGTCAAACTGTTTTACAAACTTTCAGTCTTTAGTTGCCCTACTGTCTTCAGTAGGGCATGTATTATCAGAACAAAGTTACCAAGTAGATACCACATCAACAGCTATGCACAGAGTCATAAAATAAGACATCACAAAACCTAGAGCAGGTAACTCTTTTCCTATTTCCCTTATCCAAACAACTGTCAGCTTGAGGCTTGATGCAACAGTGACAGAAGTAACACCAGTAAACTTAAATCATGTGATTGACCAAAATTCCTATAATGTCTACCATTTATTGCAAGAGCTTCTTTGAGTGATTTTTGAAGCACTTGAAGTTTATCACTAACTTAAAATTTTTTCTCAGTATTTAGGTAGTATCTACTGCAGGCTGTAATCTAGCAGGCTGATAATGACTCTGCCAGGGGATAAATAGCAGCAAAGCAGAAGCTTTGGTGGGTCTGTTTCCTGAGGATTACAGTTGTAAAGAACATTTCACTTTAGTTCATCCAAAAAGAGTTGTTCAGAAAATGGGCACTTGGTGGCATTTGTTACTTAAGCATTAGCTAGTGGGGTTTTGTGTTCGATTTTCTTGGTTTCCCCCCATACACATACACACACACTCAGGCTGTATGAAAGTTTTACCACTCACAAAATGCTTTGTTATCAGTCTTTATGATGCCTTTATACCAAAACCGGATATATCATGGAAAATAACACATAGCCAGGCACATACTTGTAATGAGGAAGCTTGGTTTATCTTAGCTACAGAGGCAAGAAATGCATATGCTTCAAGTTATATGTGAATTCCCCTGCCCTTCTCCCCTCCAGTTAGAACAAACTCGTCTCACACCAAAACACCTGAAACCAAAACCCTGAAAAAACCACTATAATGTTGACATTCCTACAGAAACTGAGGAGCAGGGTTTTATTGGGTTTGAAGGGACAGCAGGTAGCTGGTGTTGCTAAAGCTCATCGGCTGTAAAGGGGAGCTCGCTGGCTTTGCTGCTGCTGCTGCTCTGTGTGAGCACTGGCATAGCAGGGCCACAGCGGGAGTCTTGAGGAAATTTTTAAATAAAGGAGACACTAGAAGAGAAAAATACCTTTATCCACAGTGACTGTTGCAACAAAGCAAAACAGAGAGGCAGCAAAAACGAACAGTATGGAAACAAATACCCCTGGTGTCTACTTTTCACCAGCCGTTAGCCAAGGCAGCGAGGAATGTTCTTACAGTGTGGTTTTTTTAGAAGTTTAAATGCCTGCACTCAAATAGTTACAGGAGATTTCAATTATGCTGTTTTAACCTGATCAAGAAAATTTTTTAGTCATCACAGAAAGAAAAGTTATGTGAAATGTGATCCAAATGTACTTAAAGGTCTCAAAATCAGAAGAAAATAAAAACACCTGGAATTGCTGGTTTTTCTGTGAACAATCTATATTTTGTACATATTCTCTTTGCCTTCTGGTAGCCTGACTTGTGACTTTTTTAATGCCTCAGATAACTGCTGTGATAACACAGGGCTCATTTCAGACATGGCGCAACATCAGAGAGCAATTGTGGCCACCACTCCACATGGCTGGGCACGCTATTCCTCACATATTTGATCTCCCAGCTCCACTCTGTGACTGGATACTCCTTTGGCTCCTCCAGAACACCTTCTGGACAGGCTGCAGGAATAAGGAAGTTGCCACCACTCTTGTGCTAGGGCTGCATTTCTTGTTGCGGGGGGCCTCTATTTTATGGTTTGGGTTTTAAGGCTGGAAGAGTCACAGAACTGCTTTTACTCCTTCCCCCTGACCTGGCCTCTGAGGTCTTCAGCCATGGTGGGTCCTACCTGCTGCTAACATCTTCATCAGGCCTGTGTGCCATTCAGGCCCCAGTAAGTACTGTGGGGAGAAAGGGAAAATTATCTCCGAGTCATTAGGGAATTTCATGAAATTTCTGTTATTTCTTTGGTTTTTAGCTACAATCATTTTCAAGATAGACTTTTTGTATGGGTATTGTGATTGCAGAAATCTTCAACTCCTATAAATATTAAAGCAAAGATTTTTTGGGAAAAAAACCAGAATCTTTACATCAAAGAAGTTGCTGATAAAGTTAAAGGTCTTTGAAAAACCATGAGGGGGAAAAGAAACAGGTGAAGCGACTGGACAGTGCCAGAGGGTTTTGGCTCAGCAGTGTAGTGGTACTGAAAGGGGAGAAGGTGCTAGTAAAAACTCATATAAATTATATAAAATAAAAATTCGTATCTTCGCTGGGTTGAAAATCAATTGTTTGAATCTTTGTAATTGATCTCCCGAAAGAACCAAGAAGTGTGATAATTATTTAAAAGGATTATTATTTATTTTAGAGAGTCTGAGTGCACAAGTGCTCAAAGATGTACTCTGAACTTATCTGCAAATAATAATTGCTGTGATTAACTAGTACGAAATTACTCAGTCATTGCTCATTTTAATCTGGAACTTTAATTCAAAAAAGGCAGCACCCTTATTTATCTAACACTGATTAAAATACAGGACTGAATGAAGATCATCAGAAATTGCTCTGATGACTGACTGCTGAAAGGTCAGAAACCTTCCTGCGATGTATACTTTTAAACGCTACTTATATAAATGTAAAATTTAATATTTCATACATGAGGGATTATGTATAAGTAAGGAAAAATGTAATTCACCCTGTCATGAACACTTTCATAGAAATATTTCAGGAATAATTGATAAAGGAATGTCTCCCTGAAGCTACAGAATTGCCCATCTATTGTCATACTTACACAAAGATATTTAATCATTTCACAATCGTTGATATATTTATTTACCTAAAACCATTACAGAGTAGGAAAGAACTAATACCCCTCCTTCACAGACAAATTAGACAGCCTTTCTAAGGTCATGCAATATTTTTTTTTGGTAAAGTGTAGACTAAAAGCTAGGTCTCAAATCCCAGAAACATATTTCATCTTTTGGATCATTCTCCTCTCCGTGGCTCCTTTTAGCAAAACAGAAACATTACAGTCCTCCTAAAAAAAAGGTAATGAACATAAAAAAACCCCCAAACCCAACAAAACCAACCCCAAAACTCAACAAACAAACAAACCCCTACTCTTGACCATATAAGGATGTTTATATTGGTGCAAGTCAGCCTAAACTCATTCTGTGATCAGCAGAGAGAAAAAATGGAATTTTAAAGTTGTGATCCATCCACTCTAATTTAAATATATAAG